CCGGCCCACCTGTAAACCTCCAGCCCCCGGCGGACAAGGGGCAAGGACCTCCGTCCTCAAAAAAAAAAAAAAAAAAAAAACCAAAAAAAAAAATTAGCCAGGCCATGGTTGGGGGGCGGGTTCCTGTAGTCCCCAGTTACTTGGGACGGGGGAGGGCTGAGGGGGCCCAGGGGAATGGGCCATGAACCCAGGGTGGGGGGCGGAGCTTGCAGTGAGCCAAGATCAGGCCCACTGCACGCCTGGGCGACAGAGCAAGACTCCGTCTCAAAAAAAAAAAGTCCACAGTGGCATGCAACTGTAGTCCTAGCGACTTAGGTGGCTGAGGTGGAGGATCACTGGAGCCCAGGAGTTCAAGGTTATAGTAAGCTATGATCACACCACTGCACTCCAGCCTGGGTGCCAGAGCAAGACCCTGTCTCAAATAATAAAAACTATCAGGACGAAAACGGCATTAATAAAAACACAAGAAGAACCAAGACCACACATATAAAATAAGACATATTTATTAAGCTAAAGAACAAATTTTATTTTTCATTTTCCCCAAACACTAAAATAGCACATGGCATAGTAATTCAGCACACAACATAAACTGGTATATGCAATCAATAATCCCGAAAATGGTTAAGTCTCACTTTGGGAGTCTTTAAAAACTTACGCCCTTAAATGACCTTTATTAAAGTCATCAACAGACAACAAAAGAAGTCAACTGGAAAATTTTTAGGTTACAAGATACTGCAATTCCTAGAATCTGGGAAACTTTTAATGAGGGAAATAACTCGATTTGCCTCTCTGTAACTGTGTTACTTTTTTCCCGAGCTCATTCTTGTTTAAGGTAACACTGCCAGGGTTCCAAGTTTGAGAAGGGATCTTCTAAAGGTAAACTTAATATTGCAACTTTCACCACAGGGCCTCTGTCTACATTGCATTTCAAGTGGAAGGAAAGGGGTGTGAGAAGTGAGATCGAATGTTGCTGCAGACCAAAATCATTCTACAAAATGTAGAAATGATAACAGCTTACCACAAATTCAACAAGATTTAACGCCAAGTACAGCGGTGTAGACTTTACGAGTGTCCATTTCCATTGGGTGATCGACAAGCCGAAGGGACACACAGGATTTGGGACAGTAGCCCTTTAGAATGGGTGTTGAAGACAGAACTTCATGGTAAATCCGTATGTTCTAATCTGATACTTATACAGGCTATGATCATCTCCTGAAATGTTTCCCAACTCTTTATAAGTCTTTTAAAGCACAATTTAACACATGCTAAAAAATGTCCTTCCGCATCAACCGGCTTTGAATTTAAACTCAATTTATTTTAAGTCTGCCGGGTCGTACAAACTACAGCAGGAACCTAAGGGCTGCACAGTTTGCATCCAGACTTACTGCGAAAGAAATCATTCTAAGACAACTCTTAAAATTAATCTATTTGTATTGTTCTGCTTGTACCTTAACTATGGCATAATGAATTTGCTAATTCAAAAGGTTGCAGAGCCAGTAACCCCAGTGTTATCTGCAGACCATCCGAGGTGTTTTTAAGCATTTTCTTGAATTCCATCGTTTGCTTTGAAAACATGGGCTTTAAACGGTCAAGGAAAACTCGTTTTGTCTCATCATTCAGGAGCACTTCGGGACACGCGTGCAGTGTTGCAGACAGGACGGAGTGCAGGCAAGAGGGTTCCAACTCAGAGCCCAGACTCTTGGGAAGAGCACTTGGTGGGTCATCCTGAAAACTTCCCATTTCCGGCAGTTTTTTATGGCGTAGCAGTCGTGACACCCGAGGCTCTCCTTTGGGGCACTGTCCTCTGTGGCCGTCGGTGGTCCCGGCCCCTCCTCCAAGCCAGTCCCACTCCAGAGCTTCAACACCACTGCAGGCCACCTGAGCAAAACACTCTGTTGGAGCAGGGAGCAAACCCACGGCTGTGCTCCAAGTGGCTGCTGAGGCTGGATTTCTTCTTACTGATTCTTTCACGTATGGAAGCACTGGGCCACCACCGTGAAGCCAGAGGCCAGCCCCGCTCGGATCCTTTCTCATTTCCAGTGATAATGCCTCACTCTGTGAATTTCCATCAACCACAGGCTTATTCATCCAGGAGGGTGCATCTGCAAGCCAAAGGCCCTCCGTCGGCATTCTTTTCTTAAGGCTGTATGACAGTTTGTTCGAGTCACCTCCTCCGGCCTGCTGCACTTGTGCTAGGCAGGTGCCGAGGGACCCCCTTCTGTCCCTCATGCTTCGTGTTCTTGGATGCGGTGGGCCTGAGGTCACGCCTTCGTCAGTCCGGGAGGGCCTTCAATGGATCTCAATATGAACCTAGGAAAGGGAATCAAATTTAAGTTCTAAAATGAAGACATATGGGTCTTTTTTTTTTTTTTTTGAGACGGAGTCTCGCTCTGTCCCCCAGGCTGGAGTGCAGTGGCGCGATCTCGGCTCACTGCAACCACCACCTTCCAGGTTCAAGCGATTCTCTCGCCTCAGCCTCCCAAGTAGCTGCGATTATAGGCGCTTGCCACCACACCCGGCTGATTTTTGTATTTTTAGTAGAGACGGGGTTTCGCCATGTTGGTCAGGCTGGTCTCTAACTCCTGACCTCAGGTGATCCGCCTGCCTCGGCCTCCCAAAGTGCTGGGATTACAGGCGTGAGCCACCGCGCCCGGCCGACATATGGGTCTTAAGAGCATCTACACCCACCAAATATTTCCTAACAAACACTAAGATCTTTAGGACAGTCTCCATAGGGTTTCACCATATTGGTAAAGCTGGTTTTGAACTCCTGACCTCAAGTGATCCACCTGCCTCAGCATCCCAAAGTGCTGGGATTATAGGTGTGAGCCACCATGCCCGGCCATATTTATGGTTTTTGTGGTTTTTTTTGAGACAGAGTCTTGCTCTGTCGCCCACGCTGGGTGACAGGCGCGTGCCACCACGCCCGCTAGTTTTTTGTATTTTTAGTAGAGATGAGGTTTCACCAAGTTAGCTGGGATGGTCTTGATCTCCTGACCTCATGATCCACCCGCCTCGGCCTCCCAAAGTACTGAGATGACAGGAGTGAGCCACCACGCCCGGCCTGGTAGAGAACATTTTGTGGGCTTAGTTCCCCACCCTCAAATTAGCAAATAATAGAGTTTTTCTTTTTTCTTTTTTTTTGAGACCGTGTTTCGCTCTTGTTGCCTAGGCTGGAGTGCAACGGCACGATCTCGGCTCACTGCAACCTCCACCTCTTGGGTTCAGGTGATTCTCCTGCCTTAGCTTTCCGAGTACCTGGGATTACAGGTGCCTGCTACCACACCCAGGTAATTTGGTTTTTGTATTTTTAGTAGAGATGACATTTCACCATGTTGGCCAAGTGAAATTAGCCGGGTATGGTGGTAGGCATCTGTAATCCCAGCTACTCAGGAGGCTGAGGTGGGAAAATCGCTTGAACCCAGGAGGTGGAAGTTGCAGTGAGCTGAGATCATGCCACTGCACTCCAGCCTGGGCAAGATAATGAGACTCCATCTCAGGAAAAAAAAAAAAATTGCAAAAAGGCTTTGAAATGAACAAAAAAATTCGATGATTGGGCATGCCACCCAGTGCATCCTTCGGGTTATGTAATTTTATCGGGACCAGCACCTTCATTGTCTCTGAGTTGCTTTACAACTCTGTCATTTGCCAAAAACCTTAAGAGTAAGGCAAACAAGTTCCTGTCCAAAGAAAACAATCTGATTAGTTTCATTAGACTATTGAGTCTCATGGAATGTACTGATCACTGCCCTATGGATACTGGCCAGCTTTACATCTATCTGTAAATTCACTTTTGAGTGTTCCCTGAATTTTCCTTTAAACTGGTTATAACATCATATTAGTTTCCTTATTAAGTGACAAATTAAATCTAATTTTGACACATGATGTGTTCACTTAAAAATCACCCCCACCCTCAGCCAGGCGTGGTGGCTCACACCTGTAAATTCAGCAGCTATAGTCCCAGATTCTCAGGAGGCTGATGTGGGAGGATCGCTTAAGCCTGGGAGGCAGAGGTTGCAGTGAGCTGAGATCGAGTCACTGCCCTCTGACCTGGGCGATGGAGTCAGACCCTGTCTCAAAAAAAAAAAAAAAATTAAAATTAAAAAGCAGCAACACTGAAAGGATCAGCTACAGCTGAAAGTGGCTGATGGGGATGGAGAAATGCAGGTAGGAAACTGCTGTTTCTCTAATCTTATGGAACTAGGAGACTCTTGATGCTACATGGATGTATAATTGCATTAAGATTTGTTGTAAATTTTGGCCAGGCACAGCGGCTCATGTCTGTAATCCCAGCACTTTGGGAGGCCAAGACGGGTGAATCATGAGGTCAGGAGTTCGAGACGAGCCTGGTCAACATGGTGAAACCCTGTCTCTACTAAAAATACAAAACTTAGCCAGGCGCGGTAGCAGATGCCTGTAATCCCATCTACTAGGGAGGCTGAAGCAAGAGAATTGTGTGAACTCGGGAGGCGGAGGTTGCAGTGAGCCGAGATCCCACCGCTGCATTCCAGCCTGGCAACAGAACAAGACTCCATCTCAAATAAAAAATAAATAAATAAAAAACACTGGGGAGAAAATGAAGGATGCAATTATTATTGGAGGCTGAAGGAGAAAGCAGGGAGAGTTTAGAGAAAGAGGCCCTGGGCCATGTCACAGGGAGCCGGTGATGGGAGCTAGCCGGGAAGCTTCAGCAAGGACAGGATGGTTGGATTTGCATTTCAGATGAATTATTCTGGCTGCACTGTGATGGACAGACTGGAGATGGTTCAGAATAGACACACCAGTTAGGAGGCTATTCCATACAGCAGGAAAAGGAAAGAAAGAAGGCTGTGATCATAAGGAGGGACAGACTGAAGTTTCATATTGTTGTTGTTTTTGAGACAAGGTCTCACTCTGCCACCCAGGCTGGAGGACAATGGCATGATCACAACTCACTGCAGCCTTGAACTTCTGGGCTCAAGCAATCCTCCTAACTCAGCCTCCTGTGTCGCTGGTACTACAGGCAGGCACCACCACACCTGGCAAATTTTTTTTAATCAGAGCAGGAACGGAAGTTTATCACAAAGCTCTAGAGCGAGAAAGGAAAGTGCAATTCGAAGAGATCCAAGTGGGTGAATTGAACAGGTTTTTGGTGTTTTTTTTTGGTAGAGACAGGGTCTCCCCGTATTGCCCAGAGTGGTCTCGAACTCCTGGCCTCTTAAGTGATCCTCCCGCATCAGCCTCCCAAGTAGTTGGGATTACAGGTGTGTATCACCGTGCCTTGCTAAAGTATTTTTAAAAAGTTGTTGACTGGCTGGGTGCAGTGGCTCAGGCCTGTAATCCCAGCACTTTGGGAGGCCGAGATGGGTGGATCACCTGAGGTCAGGAGTTCAAGACCAGCCTGAACAACATGGTAAAACCCCATCTCTACTAAAAATACAAAAATTAGCTGGGTGTGGTGGCACATGCCTGTAGTCCCTGCTACTTGGGAGGGTGAGGCAGGAGAACAGCTTGAGCCCCACAGGCAGAGGTTGCAGTGAGCTGAGATCGCGCCATTGCACTCCAGCCTAGGCAACAGAGCGAGACTCTGTCTCAAACAAATAAATAAATAAAAATTTAAAAATAAGAATAAAGTTGGTGACTGATTCAATGCAGAAGGAGGCGAGAAGACTCACAGGCTTCTGACTTTCAATTCTGGGTGATGAAAGTGTCATTAACTGGAAATGGGAGCAGCAGCAGGTCCAGAAGAAAGTTAAGTGCAGACTGGGACACACAGAGTTTGACTGTGCAACTTTGGAAAGCAGTTGGAGTCATAAAAGTCCTAGCTCAAGACGGGTGTCAGAGCTGGGGACCTAGATCCAGAAGTCGCCAGCTTCTGAGAGGTAGATAAAATGATGGCCCTGGTAGAACATGTCAAGGGACAAAGACAGAAAGTGCTACAGAAGGCCAGGAACACCAAGACAGACACACCAGGTGGGGCAGGCTCACCACAGACACCAAGGAGAAAGACCCCAAGCATATCAGGAAAATTCAGTGTTCCAGAAGCAGCCAGCTGAGTTGAATGTCTCAAACAAAAGAGAGTGGTCAGATCTGCTTCTTGAACAAAATAATTAGCTATAGAAACTCTGAAAAACTTTACACAATCTTCTAGTCCAGAGTTGTTAAAATGGGGTAACGCCACCAACAACTTCTTTTTTTTTTTTTAAGAGATGGAGTCTTGCTCTGTCACCCAGACTGGAGTGCGGTGGCAGGATCACAGCTTACTGCAACCTCCGCCTCCCAGGTTCAACAATTCTCCTGCCTCAGCCTCCCGAGTAGCTGGGACTACAGGTGCACACTGCCACGCCTGGCTAATTTTTTGTATTTTGGTAGAGATGGGGTTCCACTAGTTGCCCAGGCTGGTCTCAAACTCCTAAGCTCAGGCAATCCACCTGCCTCGGCCTCCCAAAGTGCTAGGATTACAGGCGTTAGCCACCGCGCCCGGCCTGGTTGGTTAGTTAGTTAGTTATTTTGAAATGGAGTTTCACTTGTTGCCCAGGCTGGAGTGCAATGGCACGATCTCGACTCCCTGCAACCTCCACCTTCTGGGTTCAATTGATTCTCCTGCTTCAGCGTCCTGCGTAGCTGGGATTACAGGCATGCGCCACCACGGCTGGCTAATTTTGTATTTTTAGTAGAAACGGGGTTTCTCCATGTTGATCAGCCTGGTCTCAAACTCCCGACCTCAGGTGATCCGCCCACCTTGGCCTCCCAAAGTGGTGGGATTACAGGCGTGAGCCACTGTGCCCGGCCAGGGTTTTTATTTTTTGAGACGGAGTCTCACTCTGTCACCCAGGCTGGACCGTAGTGGTGCGATCTCAGCTCACTGCAACCTCCGCCTCCTGGGTTCAAGCGATTCTCCTGCCTCAACCTCCTGAGTAGCTGGGATTACAAGCACCCACCACCATGCCTGGCTAATTTTAATTTTTGTATTTTTAGTAGAGATGGGGTTTTGCCATGTTGGCCAGCCTGGTCTTGACTTCCTGACCTCAGGTGATCTGCCTGCCTCAGCCTCTCAAAGTGTTGGGACTACAGGTATGAGCCACAGCACCCAGCCTAGCCATTGTTAATATGGGAGAAAATATTAGAACGTCTTGGTCTATTTCATTCTTCTTTCTTCTCCCTTTTACCATTTTCTATGTTTTACAATATGTGCCATATTCTGAGCGAGCAAAATATATACTTTATGAATACTTATATATATCTTGTGGGACATGCTCAAAAATTTTTACTGATAGAATTGTGACCATTATTCTATATAATTCATTAAAATATATTTGAACCAGGCCGGG